ACAATTTTACATATATATAATACACTAACTAAAGTATGTTAACCAACTATGTTATTGGTCAACAGTATACTATTAATAGCTGAGTAGTTATTAAGTAATATTAAGGAGTTAAGGCTTTGGTCAACAGCATGCTATTTGCAGTTAAGTTTTTGAGAAGTCGAAAGTTATATGCAGATTTTAAACTGCACAGGGGTCAACACCCCTAACCACCATGTTGTTCAAGTGTAAACTGTATTTGACAACTGGCAAATAAAGAAACTTAATGAAGGCTGTTAAGATCTGCTGCTCTTGTGTCTCTGTGTCTATACATGCATTATGTATGTGTGATATTTCTCTACCAAAATACATGAGAGAACTCTGATAATTGGTTTAAGGAAAAAGTAAGCAATTCAATCTTTTATCAGAAAAACAGGACCTAATTCCAATGCCTTTTAGTTCACATGAGTTGGGTATTTTTGACAAGACCATTTGGAAAACAGCTGTATGTCTTCTGATTGGCAAAAATGCCCACATACTTATCTTTTTTTGAGACAGGATCTCCCTCTGTCATACAGGCTGGAATGGTATCAAGGCAAATATCAGACCCCTCCCTAACTGATTTACAATCCAGAAACCCAGTACAACTCTTATAAGGACAGAGGACTGGCCTTACAAACATCCTTTTCTTGGTTCACTGCAACCTCTGTCTCCTGGGTTCAAGCGATTCTCCTGTCTCAGCCTCCTGAGTAGCTGGAAGTACAGGCATGTGCCAACACACCTGGCTAATTTTTGTATTTTTAGTAGAGACAAGTTCTTACCATGTTGGTCAGGCTGGTCTCAAACCCCTGACCTCAAGTGTTCCACTCGCCTTGGCCTCCAAAAGTGCCAGATTACAGGCATAAGCCACCGTGCCTGGCCTATATGGATGCTTTTTATATTTCAAAATCATATGAAGCTCCTAGAAATCTGGTATGTCTTGGTATAAATGCTACCAGTCATAATTTTGGTTCAGAAATAACTAAATTTCCTTGTCAACTATGTCATTATTATAATGAACTCTCATCAGGTTTTTAGCCACGGTCATTTTAAGTCCTGCTGTCTAGTTATTCTGTTCTGACACTTTTTCTGAAAACTCTTTGCAAGCAATTATAATCCTTAAGTGCTGTGTCTTAAAAGACGTATATGGGAAAAATGAAATGAACTCTTGATAAATACAGGTTTGAGTTCATACTATTGAACTAAATATCCAAAATTCTAATGAGGAAACTAATGGATTTGTGTAACTGCTAACCAAAATCAAACAGTAAAAATTACATGAGACTGAATTGATAAAGAAGAATAACAGGTTTTTATGGCTTATTTGAAACACTGCTGGTTCTTTTAATGTTTTGTTTTCCAGATTTAAGGAAACTGTTTTAAACTTTTTATAACTTACAGCAATTTGGTTAAGTATACTTTTGTAATAAAAATAAAACATTATCTTTTCTTCCCAACAGGATCCTTCCAGAATTTGCAAACTATTCAGGACTATTCTTATTTTTATGGCAATATCATTATTTGCATAAGTTCAATAAGTATCTGTCCTTTTAATAACAGGATACAACTGGAAACTGGATATGTTACCAAGGCTTTGACTGGAATGCCATATTTCAAAATGTGCAAACAATGCCTGGCTTAATGCATTCCCTGCCTTACAGTGAGTAAATCTGTCTCTTCCTGGCAGGCTCAGGAACCTCCAGATGTTGGATGCAGGAGGCAAAAACTAATGTCTGCCTTGGTTTGGCTTCCTAGCAGAGACATTTTTTAAGCTCTAACTTGAGATTCCTTGTCAAAATTTCTAGCAAAGCAAATTTAAGTATTTGGTTTTAAATATGCAGTTAGTCAGGCAAACTGGTCTTACTGTGATTATCTTTGGTAGAAATGGGAGTGACTGTAGAGAAGAAAATTACATTTCAAAAGAAAATTCCAATATGCCTGTTAGACTGTAGCCCTGTTTATTAAATTTTCATTATCTACCTGTACATTGTACTGAATTCTGAATTCTTTTAGTTTTCTCTAATATCCAGCTACAACTATCCAATGAAGGAGAACTGCTCAGTTCCTGAAGCCCTGTAAGCTGAAGCTGGACAACTCGATGTAAATTTCAAGGAACACGCCTCATGCCTAATGGATGGGCCACATACAAACTTCACTAGGATGGCCAATGCCATAACCAGAGACATTTCACAACTGCCAACTACATCAGAGCAAGACTCCCTCTCATAATAAGACTCTTACCTTCCTTAATTTTTCCTTACTTTTGCCTAACTCTCACTTGGCAGGACAACACTGTAGTTAAAATTTCACCATCAGTAGCCTCTGCAGGGAACTTGCACTCCCTGCTTTAATTTAACCCAGTCATGGGATGCTAGATTACCTACTAACTCAACAGAGAATAATCTGTGCAGTTGATGATGCTTCTTGTTGCATACAGAGAAATACATCAGACACTGCAGAGCGGACTACCTGGTTACAACAAGGTAGACACCTTGTCCGGCTATTTGATTTTAGTTGGTTTGGTTCACAAGGGCTCTAGCTGAGGAGCATATTCCACCCAAACTCTTGGCACTACCCTCCTTAAGAGTCACAACAGCAGTCTCCCTGGTGTGCTGTATCCCCTCAAAAAGTTTTAAATGTTTTTATACACCAACTTGTCAAACGCCAAATGATCTTGCTCCAACTAGAACAAGAAAAACAAAACAAAGAAAAAAAAATGTGTGATAATGATGACACCAGAACCTATAAAGTGTATCCTGGGACCAGAAACCCAAAATGATGGTAACTAAGAGTGGTACTGATGCCTGAAGGTTTGGTCAGGCCCTGGGTGAAAGTCTGACAGAAACGGAGGAATAGTTAAATAAAAATTATAGGAGGCCACTGTTTTGGACTAAGTGTCTGCACTAGACCCCAAAAGACCAGACTAAAACTCAAAATGGAGTCATCTATGTAGATCTCATGTTACTAAACCTAAACCTGGGAAGTTCATTTGATCCTCCCAGAATTCGAGAGAAAGAGTGAACAACCAATTTCTTAAACAGGGCAGTTTAAATCTTCAATGGGTATCATATGAATTTCCCTCTGCTTTAATCCTTATACAGGAAAGGTGGCCTGAAAAAGCCTGATGTTAACTAGACAAAACAAGTTTTCTCTTTTGTCTCCCTGTCACAAACTGACAAGAAAAGTAACTTTGAAAGGACTTTGCTTCTGCTCTCTTCAGCCCTTCTCTGTCTATAAAGCCAACCACTTCTGCTCAGCTCAGTGGAACACCTACTGAATTTTATGGAGAAGTGTTGCTTGGTTCTAGAACCACAATAAAGCCAACTAGGATCTTTAAACTGGGGAGGGGAAAAAAAAAGGCAACAGACTTGTAGTTTAAAAAAACAGGATTTTTTTCTTTTTGAGAAGAAGCCTTGCTCTGTCACCAGGCTGGAGTATAGCAGCGCAATCTTGGCTCACTGCAACCTCCAACTCCCAGGTTGAAGCAATTCTCTGCCTTAGCCTCCCGAGTAGGTGGGATTACAGGCGCCTGCCACCACACCCCGCTAATTTTTTGTATTTTTAGTAGAGACAGGGTTTCACCATGTTGGCCAGGCTGGTCTTGAACTCCTGACCTTGTGATCCACTTGCCTCAGCCTCCCAGAGTACTGGGATTACGGGTGTGAGCCACTGTGCAGAGCCAAAACAAACAAACAAACAAACAAACAAAAAACAGTTTAAAAGTACAATGAAAGGGCCAGGTGTGGTGACTCATGCCTGCAGTCCCAGCACTTTGGGAGGCCCAGGCTGGTGGATCACAAGGCCAGAAGTTTGAGACCATTTAGGCCAACATGGTGAAATCCATCTCTACTAAAAATACAAAGATTAGCTGGGTGTGGCAGCACACACCTGTAATCCCACTGCTCAGGAGGCTGAGACAGGAGAATCCTTGAAACTGGAAGGCGAAGGTTGCAGGGAGCCAAGACTGCACCACTGCACTACAGCCTGGGTGAAAAAGTGAAACTCCATCTCAAAATAAATAAATAAAAGTATAATGAAAGCAAACATGCCATTCACAAAAGCAACAGAAAAGCCAGGTGCAGAGGCTCATTCCTGTAATCCCAGTACTTTGGGAGGTCAAGTGGGTGGATCATCTGAGGTCAGGAGTTCGAGACCAGCCTACTAACATGGAGAAACCCCACTTCTACTAAAAATACAAAAAAAATTAGCTGGGAGTGGTGGCGCATGCCTGTAATCCCAGCTACTCAAGAGGCTGAGGCAGGAGAATCGCTAAAACTCGGGAGGCGGAGGTTGTGGTGAGCTGAGACCATGCTACTGCACTCTAGCCTGGGCAACAAGAGCAAAACCCCATCTCAAAAAAAAAAAAAAAAAAAAAAAAGGGCAACAGAAAATATAAAATAACCAAGAAAAGCAAAAAATGTTTAAGATCTATATTAAGAAAAATTTAAAATGCTTTCTGGAAAGGCGGCTTGACTACATGAAAAGACAACATTTGTTCTTTGTTAGAACAGTATCATAAAAATTGCTCTATAAATATAAGAAGATTTGTTTCAGATTAGGCAAACTGATTTTATATATACATAAGTCTATTTATATTTTGGAACTAAAAAAGTTGATCGTAAAATCCATACAAAAACTTAAGCGCAAGACTATCCAGGATGATTCTGAAAACTGTGGGATAATACGGGGAGAATAAGCCCACTCCAACAGTAAAACATACTACAATGTTGGAGCAATGAAAACAGTGCAATCTGGTGCATTAACAGTCAGATGAAACAATGGTGCAGAGATTCAATCCAAAAACAGACTGAAAACATACAGCTTCTAAATCTAAGAGTACATGAGGTAGAATGGAAAAGGGTCTGTTCTCAGAACAAGTACAAGAGGTGCTCTCAGCTATTCTACAAAAAGGCCCACAAGAGTGGCTGAAAAATCAGATCACCAATTTGCAATAATGTCTCATTGTAAGTTTAAAGAAAACTCACTTCTGTCAGGATGACATCATCATCCAGGTCCTCTTCTTCATGTTGCTGAGGAGCTGGGGTGACCAGCATTGGAATCCCTTCCTCATCTGAGGAGTCAGATATGGTGATGGGCCCATCTCTGAGACTGATCCACTCTAAAGGAAAGCAGAGAACACTGTTACTGGGAGGCTGGCACTATCCTATCCAACCTTTTAAGTTTGTCCTGACAAGGGTACAGCCTAAAGCCAAGTTCATGACTACTAGTGTGTTAACTTAGCTCCTCAAGCAGTCCATGCACTTAAGCATTAACAGCCACATTTCTATGCTGACTTTTGTTAATAACACATTTTGGGAACTGCTAGAGAAGATCTGACAATGACTATGATCAATATTATTAACTTTTTCTCATACTAGGCTGGAGAGATCTGTTCATAACATTTTCTTGACTGCAAATTTCTTTTTTTTTTTTGAGACGGAGTTTCGCTCTTGTTACCCAGGCTGGAGTGCAATGGCGCGATCTCGGCTCACCGCAACCTCCGCCTCCTGGGTTCAGGCAATTCTCCTGCCTCAGCCTCCTGAGTAGCTGGGATTACAGGCACGCACCACCATGCCCAGCTATTTTTTTTGTATTTTTAGTAGAGACGGGGTTTCACCATGTTGACCAAGACGGTCTCGATCTCTTGACCTTGTGATCCACCCGCCTCGGCCTCCCAAAGTGCTGGGATTACAGGCTTGAGCCACCGCGCCCGGCCTGCAAATTTCTTTAAAGTGAAATAATGGTCTCCCAATCCATCTCTATTCCTCTGAGGAAAAGGCTACTTTATTTAAATTGCTTGGCCTGAAAAATTTATCACGCAAAAATAGTAAAATTTTAATTATTTAAAATATTGAAATTTGTTCACCTTAAACATAAACTTTAAGAATCATTTAAGCAAACATATTTCAATGCTTTAGTCAAGCACCCATTTAGTATCTACAACAGTGAGCAATTTAACTTTCCTAGTTTCCTTTTAAATATATACTATAACCATCTAGATGTAGTAATTCTATTCAAGGTTTTTACTTCCTTTTATCAATTTGAAAACAGGCCGGGCTGGGCATAATGGCTCACACCTGTAATCCCAGCTGAGGCAGGTGGATCATGAGGTCAGGAGTTCAAGACCAGCCTTGCCAAGATGGTGAAACCCCATCTCTACTAAAAATACAAAACTTGGACAGGCACGGTGAAGGCGCCTGTAATCCCAGGTACTCGTGAGGCTGAGGTAGGAGAATCGCTTGAACCCAGGCAGCAGAGACTGCAGAGAGCCACGATTGTGCCACTGCACTCCAGCCTGGGTGACAGAGTGAGATTCCATCTCAAAAAATAAAAAAATAATTAAAGAACACAGCATGGTCTACAAATCAAGCGCACAGTTCTATGAATTAATACAAAAGGGCCATCTGTGTATAATCATCACCACAAGATCAGGAAATATTTCTAGCACATTAGTAGCTTCCCTATGCTTCCCTTCTCCCAATCTCTGCTCTCTTTTCATCCCCAATGGGAGAATTTCTAATTATGCAGATAAGTTTTGCATGTTTTTGAGTACATATTCTTCTACACTTGGCTTTCTTGCAAATGTTTGAGATACATCCATATTGCATGCTGCTGTAATACTTTGTTATATATAATATACTATGTGAAGATAGCATAAATTATTCATTCTTCTGTTGATATTTGAGTATGTGGCAGTTTAGGCTATTGTAGATAATGCTATTATGAACATTCTTGTGCAAGTCTTTGGTGTACTCATTTTAGTTGGATATCTTCTAGGAGTGGAAATGCTGAGTCACGGAATAAGTATATGCTCCATTTTAGTAGACAACACTAAACAAATTTTCCAAATTGTACCAATTTACACTCCCATCTGTGCTGTAGAATAGTATGTTGCTTCACTTCCTTACTGGAAGGCAACCATACACATTCATTTATATATTGTCTAGAGCTGCTGATAGGTTTTGGCTGTGTTCCCACCCAAAATCTCATCTTGAACTGTAATCCCATAATCCCCACGTCACGGGCAGGACCAGGTGGAGGTAATCGGATCACGGGGGTAGTTTCCCCCATTCTGTTCTTGTGATATTAAGTCTTGAGGTATGTGATGGTTTTATAAGCATCTGGCATTTCCCCTGCTTGCAGTCACTCCATCCTGCATTCTGAGAAGGTACCTGCTTCTCCTCTGCCTTTTGCTATGATAGTAAGTTTCCTGAGACCTCCCCAGCAATGTGGAACTGTAAGTCAGTTAAACCTCTTTCCTTCATAAATTACCCAGTCTCAGGTATTTCTTCATAGCAGTGTGAGAGCAGACTAATACAGTTGTTTTCATGCTACAATGGTAAAGCTGAATAGTTGCAACAGAGACCACATGGCCTACAAGGCTACAGTATTAACTTAGCTCTCTAAATTTGCTGAGCCCTGGTTGTGGGTATTAATTTCTCACCTTTTCTTCTTCCTTTTTTCCCCTAGACTGGGTCTTGCTCTGCTGCCCAGGCTGGAGTGCAGTGGTGCAATCTCGGCTCACTGCAACCTTTGCCTTCTGGGTTCAAGTGATTCTTGTGCCTCAGCTTCCTGAGTAGCTGGGATTATAGGCTTGCAACACCATGCCTGGCTCATTTTTGTAATTTTAGTAGCGGTGGGGTCTTCCCATGTTACCTAGGTTGGTTTGTTTTTTTGCAACAGGGTCTCTTTCTCTCTGTTGCCCAGGCTGGAGTACAATAGCATGAATATAGTTCTCTGCAGTCTTGACCTTCTGGGTTCAAATAATCTTCCCATCTTGGTATTCCAAGTACCTGGGACCTGGTTGACCCAAGACCACCATGTCCAGCTAATTTTTATATATATATATTTTTTGTAGAGATGTGAGTCTCACCACATTGCCTAGGCTGGTTTTCAAATCCTAGGCTCAAGTTATCCTCCCACTTTGGCCTTCCAAAGTGCTGAGATTACAAGCATGAGCTACTGTGTCTGGCTGAGCTTTAATTCTTGTCTAATGTATTTTAGGCCATTTAAGTTTTCTTCAAAACATGGCATTAGATGTATCTCATAAATGTAATAGACTATATTTTCATTATCATATCATTCAAAATATTTTCTAATTTTGATTTCTTCTTACATTGGGTATAGAATCCCACATATGTTTATTACATTTGTTAACCATGTTCTTCCAATCTTCCATATTCACACAAGTGTGTGTGTGCTTACTTTTTCAGTTACTGAAACAAGTCTTAAAAATCCCTACTATAATTGTGGATTTGTCCAATTCTGTTTTTAGATCTACCAATTTTTGCTTTGTATAGTTTTATATCATGTTACTAAGTATACAGTATTAGAACTACTTTATCTTCCAGTACAATGAATCTTTTATCATTATGAACTCTATCAATGCTTCTGGCTGGAGTTTCTATCAGTTTTATCTGATATTACACAGACATAATCAGCTCTTTTTTTCTTTTTGGCTATTTGAGTGATGTACCTTTTTTCACTCCTGACAAAATTTTAAAAAATCTTTATTTTATCTTCATTTCTAAGCCTATTTCCACTAGTTATAAAATCTAGATGAGTAGGTAAAAACACTATTTAGCAATTAAAAAGGAATGAATTACTGACATATGCAATAACAGGGACAAATCTCAAAAACATGACCTTTCACAAAAGAATTCAGGTATAAGGCCGGGCGCAGTGGCTCAAGCCTGTAATCCCAGCACTTTGGGAGGCCGAGGCGGGTGGATCACAAGGTTAAGAGATCGAGACCATCCTGGTTAACGTAGTGAAACCCCGTCTCTACTAAAAATACAAAAAATTAGCTGGGCATGGTGGCACGTGCCTGTAATCCCAGCTACTCAGGAGGCTGAGGTAGGAGAATTGCCTGAGCCCAGGAGGTGGAGGTTGCGGTGAGCCGAGATCGCGCCATTGCATTCCAGCCTGGGTAACAAGAGCGAAACTCCGTCTCAAAAAAAAAAAAAAGAATTCAGGTATAAAAAATATATACAGTATGTACAATTACATGAAACTACAGAGTGAAAAAAAGCAGATTAGGGGTTTTCTTAGGCCTGGAGTGGGGTAAGGACTGACTGCAAAGAGGCACAAGGGAATCTTGTTGGAGTGATAGAAAATGTACTCTATCATAATTCTGGTGATATATTAATTTGTCAAAACTTATTGAACTATAAACTTAAAAAAAAAAAAAACTACAGAGGTTGGTGCATAATAAAAATTGTTAATGTTGGCCAGGAACAGTGGCTCACGCCTGTAATCCCAGCACTTCAGGAGGCAGAGGCAACTGGATCACTTGAGCCCAGCAGTTCAAGACCAGCCTGGCCAGGCAATATAGAGAGACACTGTCTTGACTAAAGAAAAAAAAAAAGTTAATACAGCTAATAAAAACAAAACAACACTATACATCTGAAAAAAATTCTCATGATGGGTACAGAGTATATAGAACTTGTTTAACAGAAAAATATTGGGTGCAGAGTATACATAGCTCGTCTAACAGAAAAATGTATCTCCAAAGTCACTATTTTCCAAAAGGAATTAGGTGTTCTTAAAAAAACTGTTCGAGTATATTTAAGATCCCATTAAAAAAACAACTACATAAAGCAGAAGTCTTCTTCTAATCTTTCAGAAAAACAAAAACCTACAACATTAATCTGATATACATGTACAAAAAATTATACAAGTTATAATTAAGATTTAAAACTGTCTGAATCCAATAAATTATGGCTACAATTACTACTAAATTAAAATACAGTATTAATAAAATCCTAAAAATTATTCCTACTCTTGTACTCATAATTTGCATAGCTCGAGCAATTTCAGTACTCTTGATTTATTTACCTTATAAAATTTGCTCAATTTTAAATGCTCTGAAAGCCAAATATACAGTGGACTCTTTGGCAACACTGATTTGAACAGTGTGGGTCAACTTATTTGCAGATTTTCTTCCACCTGTGTCACTGCTGAGACAGCAGGACTGCACAAGGCTTTCGGGAGCCTACCCCTTGCAACAGTGTGCCCTCAACGTGAGACATGGAGTCAAAGGAGATTATTTTTGAACTTTAAGATGTAAGAACTGCCCTGCTGGGTTTTGGACTTGTGTGGGACCTCTGGCCCATTTCTTTTGGCCAATTTCTCCCTTTTGGGACAGGAGTATATATCCAATGCCTGTACCCACACTGTATCTTGAGAATAACTAACTTGTTTTTGACTTTACAGGCTCGTAGGTGGAAGGGACTAGACTTGTCTCAGATAAGCCTTTGGACTTTTGAGTTAATGCTGGAATGAGTTAAGACTTTGGGGACTGTTGAGAAGGCCTAATTGTATCCAGAAATGTGAGAAGGAGAAAAGACTTGGGAGCGGCTGGGGTGGAATATTATGGTTTGGATCTGTGTCCCTGCTCAAGTTTCATATTTTTATTTTATTTATTTTTTTCCTCGAGATGGAGTTTCGCTCTTGTTACCCAGACTGGAGTGCAATGGTGCAATCTCGACTCACCGCAACCTCTGCCTCCTGGGTTCATGCAATTCTCCTGCCTCAACCTCCTGAGTAGCTGGGATTACAGGCACGCGACACCATGCCCAGCGAATGTTTTGTATTTTTAGTAGAGACGGAGTTTTACCATGTTGACCAGGATGGTCTCGATCTCTTGACCTTGTGATCCACCCGCCTCGGCCTCCCAAAGTGCTGGGATTACAGGCTTGAGCCACCGCACCTGGCCATCAAGTTTCATATTTGATTGTAATCCCCTATGTTGGAGGTAGGGCTTGGTGGAAGGTAAATGGATCATGGGGGTCATATTTCATGAATGATTTTGTATCATCCCCTTTGGTTACAACAGTGAGTTCTTGTGAGATCTGGTTGTTTAAAAGTGTGGCACCTCTTCCTCAACCCCTCTTGTTCCTGCTCCAGCCATGTTAGCCAGGTCTGCTTCCCCTTCACTTTCTGTTGTGATTCTAAGTTTCCTGAGATCTCCCCAGAAGCAGAAGCTGCTATGTTTCCTGTATAGCCTACAGATTTATGAACCAATTAAATCTCTTTTCTTTCTTTATAAATTACCGAGTCTTGGGCATTTCTTTATAGCCAGTCGAGAACAAACTAATACAAGGACCAACCCCTCTTCTTCCTCCTCTTCTTCAGCCTACTCAATATGAAGATGATGAAGATGAAGACCTTTAGAATGGTCCACTTCCACTTAGGGAACACTAAATAAATTTTCTTTCTCTTTTTTATGACTTTCTTAATAACACTTCTTTTCTTTAGCGCACTTTACTGTACGAATACAGTATATAATACATATAATGTATAAAACATGTATTGACTATGTTATCAGTAAGGCTTCTAGTCAATAGGAGGCTATTAGTACTTAAGTTCTGAAGGAGTCATTTTTCTTTCTTTCTTTTTTTTTTTTTTTTGAGGCAAAGTCTTGCTCTGTCACCCAGGCTGGAGTGCAGTGGCAATTCTCCTGCCTCAGCCACCCAAGTAGCTGGGATTACAGGCACGCACCACCACACCCAGGTAATTTTTGTATTTTTTAGTAGAGACAGGTTTCACCACGTTGGTCAGGCTGGTCTCGAACTCCTGACCTCATGATCCACCCGCCTCAGCCCTACAAAGTGCTGGCATTACAAGTGTAAGCCACCGTGCCTGTCCTGGCCTGAGCCACTACACCTAAGAGAAAATTCACATATTGATACAAATATGCTAACAAAACATGGGCTAAGGGTATCATTTTTCTAAGGTCAAATGTAATTTACTCTCTGCTAGAAAAAATCATCTTTGTAAACACAAAATATTATCAATGGGAGAAAACAAAACCAGTATAACCTCTTGCACGGAATTTGTAAGTGCAAAAAATGAACATAAGGATTCTACACCTCAGCATGAATTTTTTCCTTTTAGCACAAGTGTAAATGTGAATTTGAACTTAATAGGAAATTTCATAAACATTTAAGAATATTACAGAAATGCAAGCACTATTCCCTTTGCAAATTAATAAAATTCCCCAAAACTTTAAAAATTGTAGAACAGGCCAGGAACAGTGCCTGATGTCTGCAATCCCAGCACTTTGGGAGGCTGAGGCAGGCAGATCGCCTGGGGTCAGGAGTTAGAGACCAGCCTGACCATACGGAGAAACTCCGTCTCTACTCCAAGTACAAAATTAGCTGGGCATGGTGGCACATGACTATAATTCCAGCTATTCAGGAGGCTGAGGCAAGAGAATCGCTTGAAACGAGGAGGCAGAGGTTGCGGTGAGCCGAGATCATGGCCCTACACTCCAGCCTGGGCAACAAGAGTGAAACTCCATCTCAAAAAAACAAAAACAAAAACAAAAAAACCCATAAAACAAACAAAAAAAACATGTTCCAAAGTTCCCCTAAAGGCTAAGGCAGAATATTCTGGCAAAAAAAAAGAAATTAAGCATCATGTGAGGACAGGCCTACTTTAGTATCACCTGTAGTATTTCAGGTAATAAAGGCCTAGTGGAGCACTCCTTTATAATCACCATGCCTTCAAAAACTGACCCTGACACTGTTTCTTAAGACTCAACGACTGCATACTGGCAATGTTTCACCAGCAAATTAACCGCTTATTAATGTAGTTGTAATGAATGAGTCTTAAACTTCACTCACGCCAGCATTATCATCATCTGATTTAATTCTAGTCTAACTAGTCTTTTTATGTCTAAAAATAAAATGTCTCTGGATTCTAAATGGTATAAAATAGGTTCATTTAAAAAAAGGTACAGCTGTAACACTAAAGGAAAAAGCCACAGGGAAAGGGATAAAGAGTGAGCAAACAAAAACGTACCTTGTCCCCGATGGCAGTGAAAGTTGTTCAAGTGAATTACCTCTTCATTGTTGTTTCCCTCTGCCATTTTTAAATGCAGACATGCACATATGCAACTGTTAGTATCTAAACATGGTGACCATCTGTTTCAAAAGGTCTGAAAAGGAAGCAAAGAGGAACAGTAAGAATGAGGGCGTATTAAAACTCTTACCATGTATCTGGTCAGGGGAACATAATGAAGCTTAAGCTGAAAACATTCCTTAAGAAAACATATGCAAGGAAGTAGTTTAAAAACACACACACAAACTCAAAACATATGGCATTAAAACGTGTTTTTAAAATACACATATTAAAGCAACAAAGTACTAACAGAGAATTCACATATTGATATAAATATGCTAACAAAAATGGGTTAAAGGTATTAATAGGCAATTCACAAAAGAGAAAATACAGAAGATGCTCAACCTCACTAAAAATCAGGGAAAGGCAAATCAGAAAATGAATTATGTTTCGGCTGGACATTGGGAGGCCGAGTCTGGCTGATCATGAGGTCAGGAGTTCGAGACCAGCCTGGCCAGTGCGATGAAACCCTGTCTCTACTATAAACACAGCCGGAAGTGATGGTGGGCACCTGTAACAGCTACTTGGGATGCTGAGGTGGGAGAATTGCTTGAATCCGGGAGGCAGAGGTTGCAGTGAGCTGAGATTGCATCACTGCACTCCAGGCTGGATGACACAGTGAGACTCCATCCACTCCACCAAAAAAAAAAAAAAATTATGTTTCAAACCATTTGGGTGGCAAAAAAGCCAAGTATGTAAGAAATGGGAAATCTTATACATTGCTGGTGGTGCATGTCTGTAATCCCATCTATTCAGAAGGCTGAGATGAGAGAATCACTTGAACCCGGGAGGTGGTGGTTGCAGTAAGCCAAGATCATGCCACTGCACTCCAGCCTGGGAAATAGAGCAAGACTCTGTCTCAAAAAAAAAAAAAAGAAAAGAAAAAATCTCTTCCTAAGAAGCAATTAATGCTAAAGTAATAAAACATGATCTTTAAGTAGTAGAGAAAGAGTAATTGTAAACTTCAAATTTTATGATCCTTAAATTATTTTCAAAAGTAAAGACAGGGTGTGGGTGCAGTGGCTCATGCCTATAATCCCCCCACTTTGGGAAGCCAAAGTGAGAGGATCGATGGAGACCAGAAACTCGAGACCAGCCTGGGCAAAAGGGTGAGACCCTATCTCTATAAAAAACTGAAAAAAATTAGTTGGGCATGGTGGCACATATCTGTAATCCCAGCTACTTGGTAGGCTGAGGCTAGAGGACTGCCTGAATCCATGAGTTCCAAGGTTACAGTGAGCTATGACCAACCCACTGCACTCCAGCCTAGGAAACAGAGCAAGACTCTGTCTTAAAAAAAAAAAAAAAAAAGCCTAAGGATGGAATAAAACAATTTTTAGACATGCAAAGACTAAGAGCCCACAGATACTCAAACAGCTATTAAAAAATGAACTTCAAGGCCTGACATGGTGACTTATACCTGTAATCCAGCACTTTGCGAGGTCAAGGTAGGTGGATCGCTTAAAGTCATGAGTTTGAGACCACCTGGACAACATAGTAAAGACTAGCTATACTAAAAATACAAAAATTAGCTGGGTGTGGAGGCAGTCAGCGTTTGTAAAACTAGCTACTTGAGAGGCTGAGGTAGGAGCATTGCTTGAACTTGGAAGGCAGAGGTTGCAGTGAGCCAAGACAGTACCACTGCATTCCAGCCTAGACAACAGTAAGACTCCATCTCTAATAATAATAATAATAATAATAACAATCAGCCAGCAGTGGTGGTGTATGCCTGTAGACCCAGCTACTCAGGAAGGTGAGGCAGGAGGACTGCTTGAGCCCAAGAGTTTGACACTGCAGCGTGCCACCATTATGCCACTGCACTCCAGCCTGGGTGACAGCAAGACCCTGCCTCTTAAAAAAAAAAAAACGAAAGAAACAAAAAGCATTAAAAAAACACATGAATCTAGGCTGGGCACAATGGCTCACACTTGTAACCCCAAGAAGCCAATCCTTGCGAGACCAAGGTGGGAGAATCACTTGACGCTAGGAGTTCAAGACCAGCCTAGGCAATATAGCGAGACAAAAAATAAAAATAAATTAGCTGGGCAGGGTGGCATGTACCTATACTTCTAGCTACTCTTCTGAGATCCTAGGATAGCCAAATCTTAAGAGTTAAAAACAAAATGAAAACAGACCTAATACAGACCAAACCATGACAGGATCAAGATGATTTGCCAGTACTCTAATTTCCACACCTAAAAAAACTTAAACCACAATGAAGGAATATCATTTGGACCCTCCAGTTTTTTCATTCATAATGTCCAGACTTTGATTTAAAAAAAAAAAAAAATGACCAGCTACGGTAGCTCATGCCTGTAATCCTAGCACTTTGGGAGGTTGAGGCAGGAGGATCACTTGAGTCCAGGAGTTCAAGACAAGCCTGGGAAACATAGTAAAATCTTGTGTCTATTTGAAAAAAAAAAAAACCAAAACACCGGAACCAGTGGCTCATGCCTGTAATCCCAGCACTTTGGGAGGCCTGGGGGGAGGGCATGCATGCCTACACACACACACACACACACAGCGCTTAAATTGATGGACCTTAAGGAAACAAGATTAATCCCTTTACAGCTGGACAGACTTGAACAGTACTATCAAACAGCTTGACCTAACTGACACTTTATCCAGTAACTGCAGAATACATTCTTTTCAAGTGTATAAGAACATTTACAAAACAGATTGTATGCTGTGCCATAAAGCTAGCCTCAATGAATGTGAAGATTTGAAATCATACAGCATGTTCTGACAACAGTCAAAAAAAGATAACTAGGAAATTCTGAAATGTGAGAAATGAAGCAACTTTTAAAATCCACATATTAAACTAGAAATCAAAATGAAAATTAGTTAACTATTTTGACTAAATGAACTGAAAGATAATGAAAACAAAACATATCAGAATTTATGGGAAGGAGGTAAAACAGTTATTAGAAAGCAATTTACAGTTCCAAATGCCTTATTTTAAAGAAGAAAGAGGCTAGTCATGGTGGCTCATGCCTGTAATCCCAGCACTTTGGGAGTCTGAGGCAGGCAGATTGCTTAGCTCAGGAGTTCAAGACAAGCCTGGGCAACATGTTGAAACACCAACTCTACCAAAAAACAAACAAACCAATTAGCTGGGCATGGTAGCATGCACCTGTGGTCCCAGCTACTCGGGAGGCTGGAAAGGGATGAATGCTTGAGCTTAAGAGGCAGAAGTTGCAGTAAGCTGAGATCACACCACTGCGTTCCAGCCTGGGTGACAGAGTCAGACCCATCTCAAGAAAAAGAAAAAAAAAAGACTGAAAATCGGCTAGGCTCAGTGGCTCATGCTTGCAATCCTAGCACTTTGGGAGGCTAAAGTGGGCGATCAGTTGAGGTCAGGAGTTTCAGACCAGCCTGGCCAACATGGTGAAAACCTGTCTCTACTAGAAATGCAAAAATTAACCAGGCTTTGTGGTGAGCGCTAGTAGTTGGGAGGCTGAGGCAGAGGAATCACTTGAACCCAGGAGGCGGAGGTTGCAGTGAGCCAAGATAGCACCATTGTACTCCAACCTAGGTGACAGAGTGAGACTCATCTCAAAAAAAAGAAAAAGAAAAAGAAAAAGGAAAAAAGCCAGGCACAGTGGTTCAAGCCTGTAATCCCAACATTTTGGGAGGCTGAAGCGGGTAGATCTTGAGGTCAGGAGTTTGAGACCAGCCTGGCCAACATTGTGAAACCCCGCCTCTACTAAAAATACAAAAATTAGCTGGGCGTGGTGGTGGGTGCCTATAATCCCAGCTACTCAGAAGGCTAAAGCAGGAGAATCTCTTGAACCTGGGAGGCGCATGTTGCAGCGAGCCCAGACTGCACCACTGCACTCCAGCCTGAACGACAGAGCAAGATTCCCCACTCCCACACCTCAAAAAAAAAAAAAAAAAGAAGAAGACTCAATATCGGCTGGGCCTGGTGGTTGACGCCTATAATCCCAGCACTTTGGGAGGCCAAGGCAAACAGATTGCTTAAGCACAGAAGTTTGAGACCAGCGAGGCCCTATCTCTATAATTTAAAAAAAAAAAAAGAAAAAAAAAGATTACTGGGAGGAATTAAATACCAAATAAATGTATTGACATACCATATTCATGGGTTGGACAGCTCTATTTTGTAAAGATGGCCATTCACTGTAAACTGATGTGTAGATTTAATACAACCTTCATCAGGTTTTAAAAATATATACTAAATGACTTTAGAATTTACAGAAAAACAGCCAAGAATAACCAAAGCATTCATAAAGAAAAACAAAAGAAAGATTTATACTAGCAGATATTGTATTAAGTTACAGTAATTAAGACAATGTTCTACTGACAAAAGAAGGGAAAAACAGACCAATGGAACAGATTAGATTCTCCCCTCGCCACCCCCTGCCCCCAACGGAGTGTTGCTCTGTTGCTCAGGCTGGAGAGCAGTGGCACCATCTCAGCTCACTGCAACCTCCACCTCCCAGGTTCAAGCAATTCACCTGCCTCAGCCTCCCAAGTAGCTGGGATTACAGGCATGCACCACCACGCCCAGCTAATTTTTGTATTCTTGCAGAGATGGGGTTTCATGATGTTGGCCAGGCTGGTCTCAAATTTTTGACCTCATGATCTGGCACCTCGGCCTCGCAAAGTGCTGGGATTACAGGCGTGAGCCACCCCTCCCGGCCCCAGATTCATTGTTATATGAATGTTTATGACAAAAATAGCATTGCAGAACAGTGAAAACATGAACTTTTACTATATGATGCTGTACTCAAAAGCCACATATGGGGTGAGAGTGGGGGTAACAACCCCTTCCTCATGCTTTATACAAAAATCATTTTAGATGAACTGCAGATTTAAATGGAAAGGTAAAATAAGTTTCTAAAAGATAACACAAAATCTCCACAGCCTTAAGGGTGCAAAAGATACCCTAAACAGGACATAAACAGTACTACCCATAAAAGAAAAGACCGAGACCTATACATTAAAATTAAGCATGTCTACTCACCAAATTAATTAAGAGTAAAAAGGCAAGCCACCAGGAAAAAATATAAAAACTCT